GGTGAGATTCAAACTATTACATATTTGTACTTCAGCTTGATCGGAGTCTTAACATGTGCACCAGAATGGGTGGCATTTTTATTAAGCTAATCTCGTTTTCTGGTACGGAAAGTCGGTTGGTTATCACTTCTCGGCTGCCCACACCGTGAAAAGATATTTCTTTCTGGAGAACCGGGAATGGAAACTGGTTTTCTGTTTGACTTAATGAGCTGAGAGCGTGATCACAAATCTCAAGGAATGACTTCTTGAGGTCCATCACATGCGGTCTTTTATAAGGAGTTTTTCGTGTGTTAAGCTCCCTTCCAAAAAGCCTTATCACCAAAGACGATGATCCGCGGCGTAATATGAGGATTAACATTTTTAGGTTTGACCTTATGCAGTTCCTTCCCTTCAGTTTGAAAAGGCAACATTGCTGCAGGTGGTAGTTGCGTTGTATTTTTATCGCAGAATGAATAACTGTAGACTACCTTTCGGGAGTCAGTGGGATTGTCACAACCAACTTTTGATGATGAATTACTCTACACAATCGTCGCAATAGTGCAAATCCATTCGCTCCGCCTTCCTTTAGGGCTCTGGAATCACCTCACACTTCAGATTCCATGAATTCGCCTTTCTCAAGTTATATTCTCTTTTAAAGAAGGTAAAAACATTGTTGACTGCGATATTGTTTTACCTAGTGCTTCTACTGCCACTGATATTGCTACTATTACTACTCTGATATTAGCCGTCATATTTTGTGTCACTGCTTCTATAGTTTATCAATTTAAACCAATGCATATATGAGCCATATTCTATGATGTCTATAACTGATTGGTTGATTGATCAGGTTCGATGTTGTTTATGGCTAGTCGAAGTGTATATGATGTCTGTTAATGACTAGGACACAAATAAATAGAATAATATTATTTTTTTACTGACTATAATTTAGTGCTCATTGTTATCATTGACTTTAGAACCATTACTTTATGTTGGGCAGTAGCCACTCAAGGTTCTATGCGCTTTGTTTCGTACACAGATTTAACTAATGAGGTGAGTACAAAGGCATATACGACTCGTTATCTGTTCTTCCGAAACTAGGGTATTGCATAAAAGCAGCCGGTCGGTTTCAAAACAATGCTGTAAAAACTGTAGATAACTACAACTAAGTTGATCTCTAAAATTTTTGATTTATCACCAGACGATAGATTAACCTAGCCTAATTCATTCACTATGTTAGTGCAAAAATGTGAGGTGACTTGATCTCGATCTTCAAATAACTGACTATTCAATTTAGCGTTGATATGCTTTCACTCTGCTTGCTTTGCGAAACAGAAAATTTACGAAAACATACCAAAAATTCGGAATTCCTGAAATCAATAACCTGTTAACTGGCTAGTATTTTCAAGTAGAGTAGAATTTTCTACTTCAACACATGATAATAGCTTTCTCTGGTAATGCATTTAATAGGCTGATTCAGATAAGAATCTTATCACGAGGCTTAAGATGGTTTCCAGTATCCGGTTCTATTAAGTTAAACCTTTAGGTATTATTTATAAACTGGGAACACTTTTCGCAAAATTTTTAGGATAGTTTGTTAATTTTAGAGCAACGCTCAGAGTAGTTCTAACCGAAGACAGCGACAGCCAAAGAATATTTCTAAACTTGGTGGCTACTCTTAAGCTTATTCTGCAAAACTTTGTCGAGCCGAATACCAGTCGAGTTCTTTTTGTCAAGGGATTGAAACATATCATACTACATTCAGGTTCGATTCTATAAATTTCCGCGAGTACGTTATTCAAGATATCCAAGGGGGTACTAAAAGTACCTCATTGTATAACCAGATTTCGAGCTGGTATTTGTTTTCCAATCTCATCGTTAACTGACTTATACGCGTTGTCAGAGTCCTTCATTTATCACGCTGACGGTTTGTGCTGGAACTATTAGCGGTGCCCTAGTTTGAAAATTTGCATTTGCACATTCAGTTTTTGATGAGCAAAGGGGTGTGGGAGGATTGTTGACTTTTTAAGTCCTCTATGAGTAGGTTATCTCGTTTTAATCGTTAGGCGAACTTTTCGTGCTACATTATGGTGTCGACACATTTTTCTTCCATCGTTCACAGTTCACCATACTTGGGTTTATAACATTTTTCGGCCTAACCTTTTTTGTGTGCCCCATACTACCGATTTTTTCGTACATGAAGTAAATGAATACCTACTGCACTCTAAAAAATCGACAAGTGATTTGAATCAAACCTTAAAAATCGATATAAATTAGTAACTGAAGAATTTTATCTTTTGGTCGCATTGGATTTAGGGATTAATAGTACTACCGGATTATTTAATCATGAAAGATTGAACAAGGTCCAAATTCCAAGATTTATGATTCGAAGTTCAATGCCATAACCACTGAGCTGTTAAAAAGATATAAAGTTAGAGTGTGAATAAATATTCCAGGTAGGAGTACAGTTTTTCGTTTCGGTCCCTGCATTGGATCGCGTCAGAAATTATGGAATTGTGTCTGGGCACCTTGCGATTTTTCATCTTTTTGATAGATCCTTCATCTGCCTTCATTGTTAGGGGAGCCTTTTTTGTTTAGTTCTTTTGGATTATGTTGTTTGTAATTGTAAGAATTTTTGAGTTAAATAATGACTGGTAGTGCTATAGTAGCGTGTAGTCATATCGTGAGTGTCTTGTATTTATCGTAGGATTGAATTGCCGACCGAAGCTGCTACCTTGACGTGGTGGTCGGGCTTGCCTATCGTAATGAACCAACCGAACTATATTGGCTGGAACATATGTTTCTGTAGGTTCTACCATGCCAGACAGGTCGACTGGAGAACGATGAAACTAAAGGCAGCTACTCAAGGTCTGAGGGCGGTCGTACTGCTGACTGCAGAGGGGTGTGACAGCAGTAAGGTGTTTCCCTCGGACAACCAGCAGCTGCAGCGATGCTGCCTTCTCACAACGAAGGAAGGGTTAAAAAAGGTCGACCCTAAAAATGTCACACCTCACCCTACCTCACGGATTTCCGTCTCCGGCGGTAAGCGTGCCCCCACCAGGGGCTTTCAAGAGCGCAGTTAATAATCTAAAAACTTCTCATAAAAAGGCCGTGCGTGACCGGCCTCAAGCAGTTGTCCCTCTGGCTATGCAGTCACGCTCCCAGGTCTCTAAGACCAACACTAATCTACCTTCTTTTTCAGGTTCCTCAAGAAACAACCTTCCACGGTGTGGGCAGCCGGGAAGTGACAACCCCCCTCATATTCGGAACAGCACACGATACCGAATCGGTTACAATCATATCCTTCCTACACCCCCTGACATCCTCCTTATCTCCACCACTGACCCTTCTCGCATTAATTCATCACCCTGCACCGCTAATGCAAACGATGCGACTTCACCAAGAGTTATTCCTGTTCTCTTGATAGCCCGTTTCAAACTGCATGTTAGAGCTTTGAATGTAAGAACCTTGTGTTTAATAGGGCAGCAGGCTTCCTTAGCTAGGACTGTGGAATCCCGTGCCATCGATGTATTCTTAGTCTCGGAAATGCGCAAACAGGATCCGAACAAAATTAATAATTTGATTTCCTCTTGTGCAGATAGAGAACCAACTCGGTTTACGCTTTGTGTGTCTGGTAGCTTTGATGATGCTTCCCGGTGTCTCGCTGGTGTAGGTGTAGTATTGAGTCCTAGTGCAGGACTAGCTCTCTTAGACTGGATCCCAGTAGATAGTCTCTTGTGCTCTGACAGACGAAACGGGACAGTAAGGACTCGTGAAGATAAGGAGACTCGCTGTTGCCTCTTCGTCATATCTGCTTACGCTCCCACTGACTGCATTTTTACGACTTAAAAGGTGAGTTTTACCAAGATCTCTCTAAACTTGTTCAAAAAATTAAGCACTCTGATATAGTAATAGTGGCTGGTGACTTAATTGCTCAAGTAGGTGAATAGGAAAGACACCTAGGTCGATCTTATGGTGTCGCGTCTTAAAGACCAGATAACGCTGACCGTCTGCTGCAGCTCTACTCAGATAACGGTTTATCCTTGATTGTCTCAATTTATAAGGAAGGACAAAAGTCCCTTTGTGACAATCACTGGGGAATAGATCTTACTTACATATTATCGAAAATATTGGCTTCAATAATACTCGGACGCCTAACTAGAGCTCGTGAAGAGCAGACTAGGGAAAACCAGGCTGGTTTTCGACCTGGACGTGGATGTATAGACCAAATATTTACATTACATCAGGTCTTAGAACAAAGACACACGTTCAGAAGCCCCACAATAGTAGTATTTCTCGACCGTAAAGCGGCATTCGACTCTGTTGATCGTGAGGTTCTCTGACAGTGTCTGTTATTGAAAGGTGTACCAAAGAAGTACATTAACCCTATGCAGGCTCTCTACTCGAACACCTTTGGTCGAGTGAGAGCTTATGGCGAACTGTCGCCGGGATTCTTTACTTCAACTGGTGACCGTCAGGGCTATCCACTCTCCTTTCTTGTTTAACTTTGTCGTAGACATGCTTTAAGTGTTAACATTACCATCGCGAGACGAAAGTCACCGATGGTTAAAGGCCTTAAAAGACGTGGCTCAAGATCCTTTGTAATGGCGCAAGTGCATCCACTCTTTGTGTTCTCTGAAATTCTAACCTGAATCTCTCATAATCTCTTTCTTTTTCTAAATTTAATTCACTGAATTATACTTCTTGAATAATATCTTCAAATCGTAATCTCCATTACTGGTAACACTTCTACTATCTCTACTACTTTTGGATTTGAACTGACAGTTGCATCTCTGTGCTAATGTGGTATGACAACCCGTAATGATTTACCTACGTACGAATTTCCACGTTGTAACAGACCGACAGACTGACTGACCTTGGAAAAGTGAAATGAAGCCGGATAATACCAAATTCGTAGTTCATTTACAGACGTCACTCCCCTACTAGTTAATCAAGTTCTTTTGATGTGAAGAGATCTTAGTTTAAAGATTTGCGACACTTATTCAATTTCTTTTCTTTTATAGACAACCAGTACGTGATTCTGTACTGTTTCCCTTGGGGTTAAAGGAAGAGGCAAAACTGTTGCTAGGTTCCGAAGACATTACAATACACGCAAAAGATTTACGGAAGATAGCCCACTTAGGTAATGCTTGTTTATTTGTTTATACCATCTTAATTTTCCGCTACTTTTTACATATTCCCTAGTTATTTATTTTTTCATTTTGGTTAGATCACACTTACACTACCTACTGTCCAATTTTTGTAAATGTTAGTACTGTTGACTTCCTATAACGTAAAACTTCGTACGTACGTACACCAGTTCAACTTGCCGTATCACATTAACATGGAGAAATCCCATAGTAGTAGAGGTAGTAAAAGTATTAGCAGTAATGGAGAAGATGAGGGTTCAAAGATATGATTCGAGAAGTATAATTCAGTGAAAATAGGAAAAACGTTCATGACGAATTCAGTAGATTAAAATTTCAGAGAAGAAAAAGAATGGATGCATCTGTGTCATTGCAGACGATTTTCAGCCATGTTAACCGCTGGTTATAATTGTCTCGCGGACCGAAACCTCATAGTTTACTCCTACTAACATGGCTCAGTTCAGTTGTCAATGACTGCTTTTCAACCTCATTATGAGTCGGATAACTTTACATCAACTTGCTGTTCAGGTTTACTGGAGATCGTGTGAAACCGAAGTGTGGCTTAAGGCCAGTTGAACTGATCCCCAAAGTGTTCTGCGCGTCGATCCAATCTTCTGGGAATAATAGTCTCATTCTTTTCCGAGATGGTCTTGCTAACAATCGGATTCCTAAGGTTGAAAAGATTACAGACAATCTAAGGTGAAGGAGAGCAGTATTTAGTAATAGAATAACCTGAGATTTTCAAAGATCATGGTCCAGTTTTTAGCCGTCAGATTGACTGAGACGTTAGCTAGAATCTGGTAACTGATTACTTCAGTTTATAAGAAAAGACAGAAATCCTCTTCTGACAATCGAAGAGGAATCAGTTTGACTAATTTAGTGCCTAAAACATAAGTTTCAATGATATTTTGACGCCCAACTGGGCTCGTAAAGAGGAGACTCGAGAGAACCAGGCTGGTTTCAGACAGGAACGTAGATTTATGAACCTGATATTCACATCAGATCCACCCGAATGTCTTACGGCTTCGCTTAATCTACCTCTTTGAGCAATAAAGTCAACATCCACTTTTACTATATCACAGTGCTTAACGTTTTGAAGGAGGTTAGAAAGGTTTAGTAAGACTCATCTTTTACCTTGTCTGGGCTGCAGTCAGTGGGAGCGTAGGCAGAGACATCGAATAGGCGACTGTGACTGTACCTATTTTTCCGAATTCGTAGTGTCCCATCTAGTCGGACGGTGCACTAAGATAGTCGGTTCGGCTCAGGAAATCAATGCTATACCCACACCAGCGAGGCCACAAGAAGCAGCAGTGGGGCTTCAAGATACACGAAGCACAAGTCACCACGGTTCTTTATTTTGACAAGGTGAGGTCAGATGAATGACTGTACTCGAATCCTGTATGCGCGTTTCGGAGACGTAGCACACATCAATGTTGCGAGATTCTAGAAAACCTATTGTCCCATTTGGCATAAGTTCTGAACATTAAAAGCTTTAACATGTAGTTTAGAGCGTGGCGTGGTTTCACGAGGCCAGGAATGACGTTTCGTGAACGTCTGCATTAGCGGCGCGAGGTGACAAAGGAATGAAAGAAGGATTGGTCGTGGAGGTAAGAGTTATTATAAGAGGTGTAGGACGGATTTGATTGTGACTAATCTGGTTAGGGTTAGGGTGTTGTTACGAGTACAAGTAGGGATGTCACTTCCCGACTGCTCATGCAGTGGAAGGGTGGATCTTAAGAACCTGGAAAGGAAGTCGGATTAGCGTTGGTTTAATTGACGTGGTAGCGTGGCCGCAAATCTTACAATGACAAGTCAACTGAGTCATATTGGTGGATATAAGCTACCTGGTTGTGTCATTTTGTCTTTATTTATCGTTTGTCGGTTACGAGTTGAAGATTTTCGATTAAGTCGCTAGTAATTAATAGTTATTTTGCTGGTCTGCCAAGATCACCCAATATGCTAGTGGTGGTCGCTATCCGATGTTTTCTGAGGCTTTGTATACTGCTTGTCCGGGCAACCATTACTAAATAGCGCCTCATGGCTTGTAAATCAGAAGACGATTACTAAATGTTGAATACGTTTACTTGGCACACCTCAATTAGACCACCAAACCGCTGGCACAGAGAGCGAAAATCAATATGCGGATGCCGATGGGCGAGCAAGCTAGTGAGCGAATTGGCTAGTAAATTAATAAGATTATAATGTACATACATAAACGTAGGAAAATTTCTGAGTCATCGAAATATTTAAGAGGTTAATATTGAGGCGAATAGGACGAATATTGGCGTATGCGGTAAGCATTGTTCAGTTGTACCAGCTCATACAAACCAGACAATAATCAAAGCCAAAGGTACAAATAAGTTATTGCTATACAATTGACTCGGTTAAATAAGTTAATCAAAAGGCTTAACCAAAATTAATACTAACAAACTCAAATGTATGTGGAGGTAGTACATACTCTCCCACTTAAATCAATCAATCAAATGAGAATTTCGTTTCTTCGCGTCAATGGACTACGACAACTTGAATTAATGCATATACGTACCAAGTAGAATCTAGTGAATTAGACTCACCCCTCCAAATACTTCCAATACCTTTTCTACCTCTAGTACTATCGGATTTGAATTCAGAATAACATCTCTGCTAATGTGGTATGGCGACATGTACTGATGTACTTACGTACGAAGTTCTACGTTGCATCTGACTGACTGAGACCTAAAGGGATGAAGATAAAGTGATGAAGAATGCAGAAGGTTATGTTTTGAGAGAGCACAAAGAATGAATGCACCTGCGCCATTGCAAACGATTTTGAGCCATGTCGTTCAAGGTCTCTAACCATTGATGACTTTCGTCTCGCGGACCCCAACCAGGTAGCCTACATCTACCAACATGACTCAGTCCACTTGTCAGTGACTTCATGGATTTCTGCCATGTTTTGGTCTGGCCGCCCCTAGCTTTCTTCCAACCTACTCCTACATCACAAAAAACATCGCTGGTCGAGGCAGTCGGTGGTTAGGCATACGTAACACATTTCCCAACCACCTCAACTGAAGACGTTTCACTACTGCTATCCTTACCTAGCTTCCATTTCCTAATAACAGCATTGCTTTCTCGGTTGTCTCATGATACACCAGCAATGCTTCGGAAACACCCACTTAAATGTTCTTATGATTTAAATTAGTGATCATCACACATTTTGATTATAGTTTCAGTGTTAAAATAATTTTTAATTGGATCAGTTATTTTCATTCACTGATACTGTGTACTATTTTAATTATTATTATTTAGCATGCAAATCAATAAAACTGAAACATTGTAATGTGAATTGGTATGGGCCGTTCTGTAACCTGTGGGTTATTGAGCCACAATCCTATTTTATGTGATTTATTTACTGAGGATTTCAGTAGTCACATATGCCTCGGAAGTGGCGTATAACATATTCTGGTTAGATTATTGCAGCTGTCTTAACTCGGTTAACTTTGAAAATGTGTTTATGCAACACTAGATGAGGCCTAATGGCTTTTCGGTTTGATATAATTTAATCACTCTTCATATAGTTTTTCCTGTGGTTGTTGAGCATACTGGATTATTTGTCCCTCATTGTCGTTGAAAAAACTTAACATATTTCTCAAATTAACGTTTCAAAAGTCAAATTTTTATCACATTTAACTATAGTTATTGATATCGATCTACAATATCTATATTCTCAGCGGCCAATTTACGTTAATTGGTGGAACTATTTAATGTTACTCTCTCAAATTCATTCCCTATCGTGAATTTGTTTTACTTTTCAGTAGCCATTTATGCTCTCTTACATAGGTTCTGGGTATTATGGAAGGGTAGAAAAAATGATTCATACACCCACTTCACACGTGTTTGCTGTCAAGCACATTTCCGTTCATCTAAACTATCTTTCAAGACCTCTGATTTCTCGAGAATTGGCTGTTGGTACACGCTGCAACCATCGATCTGTGGTTACTTGTTACTGTGGTTTGTTTTGTGAAGGTGATGTCCTTATTGTTATGGAGTTAATGGATACATCTTTGGATAAATTATTAAAAAAAGTAAGTTATATCTAGATAGATATCACATTTTGTATGACTTCAGCATCCGTATTTCACATTGCGTTATTGATCAGTTAAGACATTTCAGTTTTTGAACTTCATGTTCATTTTCATTGAAATCTATGTCTTGTGTATACCGTATATTGTATTAGTAATATTTGAATTTTAAGCACTAGAAAGTCCATTTCTTTTTCCTAATAGCGTTTTAATGCTTATTTGCAAGCTATGCCTAATCTATTTATTATATCAGAAAGTTGGCTTTGTTCAATTCAGTAATTATTCCAATCAGTTGTTGCGTGGAGAAATCACAGTATGGATGAAGGTTTGCTTGTCTGGCGGTTAAGATATATGTCACATAGTTTCATCAGCTGATAATTTAATTTTTTATCTTATTATAAGATTATATTGGAAATAGACTAGTTATTAATTAATTAAGGCTCTATGTCAAGTTATCAAGTTAATTTGCTTTTCCATAAGCCGCTTTATAATATCATTTTCTAAATATTTATCACTTTATGCTTATAAATTGATATATATATATACTATCCTTTTCATTAATACTTTGCATAGGTTTACAACTGTGGTCGTACTTTTCCTACTGATGTCTTAGCTTACATTGTATTATCGGTTGTTGAGGCTCTTGAATATCTACATCAACTTGAGGTTATACATCGTGACGTGAAACCTTCCAACATGCTTGCAGATAGTCACGGCCGAGTTAAGGTAAGACAGAAAGAAAATTTCCTAGTAACTAATATCTTCAATTATGTATTATATTTTCGTATCGAATAAATTAACTGTTTGCGAAATGTACATTTTAACCCTATTTTGTTTCCATGTAATGAACAAGGTTTGTGATTTCGGAATATCAGCCGATTTAGAAAATTCGATCGCATTAACCAATATAGGCACAAGATCCTATTTAGCTCCAGAACGAATTAATACGCGAGAGAATGAAGGGTTTTCTATTCGTTCGGACGTATGGTCACTTGGTTTGAGTGTACTTGAATTGGCAACTGGAAAACCTTGCTACCCTCAATCACAAAATGTATTTCAGCAATTAGTTCAAGTAAGTATCTTTTATGTCTCTACAATTTTATCGTCATTCTCTACTTAAATTACATTATATAAAACCTACTAATGCAAAATTTAGCAGTCCAACCTTATTTGACGTTAAGAGAAATTTCTTGATAGACTAGCACGATTTCCATGGGTAATCAGAAGTCTATTCTACTACCAATAATCCCATTCGTCGGTTGATTTTTCTGTCGTTCATTAATCAACGTGATGGTGACTTGGAGCTTCTTAGTATGGTATTCCATCGGAATGCGTATATTGCCAACCGATTCACGATTATTCTACGTTTTTACTAATTAGTAACCAAACTTAAGTTTCAGCCCTAACCGAAACTTACTCTGCATTGCTTATATTATGCAACATGTTGTGGCGAAATACTCGGAAATTTAGGCGTTACCTTGTTAGGATGATAACTATGAGCGTTAAAAACACTCCAACTTACTATAGGCTTTCACATTCACGTTGTATAATTTTTAACTATAATGATGGATTCCATGCTCTTTTTTACCTGACAAACTAATATGGCTTCTAAGTACAAACTGATGAAATCTAGCACTAGTGTACACCTACCCAAGTTTCCTGGAAGATAAATCATCCAATACCTATGACTTTATCCCACTCATCTTCGACGTTCCTCCGTATTCTCAACTTTTAATAATCATTTGAATACCGTTTGGCACCATAAAGAAGTATCTATTCGTCCCAACATTTTTGTCAGTCACCAAATAAGTTAACTAGTCAACCTACTCTTGTATTTATTTCTGATATTTAAGTGTGCTCTAGTGAACTCATCCTTCAGCATCATCTCACACTTGGAATGTGAACTGTTTCCAATTTTTAAATAAGCTCAGATTTTCATGTATGTAGTCAGTCATTTTATTAGATAGTGCGTTGTTAGCCACACCCAAACTAAATGACCTAACTTTTTATTAATTTTTCACATTTTTGAGATATATGTGAGAGAATAATGATATATTGGAACCTCTTTATTTATTTGACAGTCAGATAGCAGCAAAAGAGACAATTAGAAATAGTGATTGTTTTTTTTCGGAAGGTAATGAGGTTATATCGTTGGTTTCCGCTTGGAATTTCAGTGTCGTGAACTTTGGTTGTCGGTTATGATCCATGAAAAATCGAATTATTAATATGATCTATAATTGATCCTTAAAATGTTATATCATGTCATAATAATAGGCTACTACAATTTTAATAGAACAAGCGGTAATATGTCACATTTTTTAGAACTCTTTGTTAGTTCAACCAGTTCTGTAGGTTGAATTTATTAGAGATTAATGAAAATATCAAAAACCGAATCAACAAGTTATTTACTGTGTATATTTCCTGTAAATTTGACGGTCAGATAATTACAAATTAAGGAACTGCAACCTAATTGATATTGTTTTTATTTTAAGGTTGTTCATGAACCATCACCACAATTACCAGAATCTAGTTGTTATCCGGATTCGCTACGTAAATTTATTGATTCATGTCTTATGAAGAACAAGGATGATAGACCAAATTATGTTCAACTATTGGAGTCGGAATTTCTATCCACTGTTGATGCTAAAAGTGGTCAAGAATCATTTAGAATATTTTTGGCAGATTACCTTGACGATAATGAACAATGTTGATAATTCATTAATAATATTTTTATTGATAATAATGATGTTAAATTATTTGTACAAATTTTAGCAATTAAATCATAAACATTAGGTAATATCTAGTAGAAGTTATTTCTTTTTTTTCTTCTTCTGCCTGCTTTAATTTTTTTTAAAATTGTTTACTCCTATGTGATACATTCCGGTTCCGTATTTAATTCTTAAATTCAAAGAGATTCCTCCTTGTATGTCCATCAGTGATTATTACAAACAAACATTTTGTCAACCTTATTATTATTATTATTATTGCTTTTATCATACCAGCATATATATATATACATTCTTATATTTGTATATACCTTCTCCTGTCTTTGTTCTTGTGCAACATTGAAATATCGCTGATTCTTTCATTAAACATTGTGTCGCAACAACAACAAAAAAACTTGAAGAAATTTTCTCCAATTTTCGTTTATTTTTCATTTTTGTCTTCCCGATTTCAAGTGTTTTTTTTTAAAAAAAATAATTGGCTTGATCACTACTAACTAGTCAGTATTGACAGACAGTTAAAAAAGAAAGACTGTTTCTAATAGACATTTTCACTTTAATGGGAATTGAATCTATTTTGTTAAAGTGATTTACATTTTTTTTTCTAATAATGCTACACTATTAACTATGAATATTAAATGCAATTTTCTCTTAAACAATTAAAAGAATTATTTTATTATAGTAATAATTTATTCTGTAATCTGTAATAATATTCATTAAATTTCTTAAGAAGCTTTATTCGTTATTATTATTATTATTATTATTATTATTATTATTATTATTATTATTATTATTATTATTACATTCAGTCGGTAAATGGAACGCCTCAGTAAAGTTGAAAAGTTGACAAAATAGAAATCCTGAACTTCAATATACGGTAACTTGTTAACTACCTGTTTTCTTCTACAATAAACACTAAGTTAGTAACACCACGAATACTTATTTCACAAATAATCCGATAGCTATTTTTCATACAAAAGTAAGGAGTTATAAAGTATTGCAAATCAACATGTTTAATATTAATTCACACGAAATCACTCATCGTCAAAATCATATTTTCTAAGTGGTTACCATTGTGCTGCTTTGTTTTTATATGATGAACTAATAAGATTTCGTTGATTATTCTCTAATTTATTTCTTTAATATTAGCGACTATACTTTTTTCACGGGACATCATTTCTGTAATACTGACGGTGTACACATATGTATTTCATTACATAACCGCAAGTTTTAGAATGTAAGTGATATGAACCTAATACTTATGATTGATACATTTGACAATTTACATCGTTCATAAACGTTGGCAAGTTGTTGTAGGATTAAGACTGGCGAATTTACAGTTTCTTATTTAATGATTTCGCATATTTTAATTTCTAAATCTTCATATACTAGATTCAAATTGAATGCATCATGAGAACAAGACTAGATTCATGCCGTACGAAGTTAAGTTACACTAGTGTTTTACTTTACCATTAAATATGAGATGCTTTGGGGTGTGACTGATATCAGTATACGGTTTATTATATAGATTGTTTGATGAATTGGAATCAACTTATCCATTAGGACAACACGTATTTGTTTCCTATATTGCACTACCACAGGTCTACGATAAATTCAATATAATTTAAAAATTTAGCTGTCGAAAATCTGCGTAGTTGATTGTCAGATGTTAACAAATCTACAGTACAGAAAGCTCCTTCTGTATTACCGTACAAAAAGTCGATTCTATTTTCCGAATTAGTATACGAATAATAAAACTGTATATGAATCGTTTTAGTAGGTCTAATGTATCTGGTTGGGATATACGAACTAAATGTGATCAACAAAATCAGACACCAAGTTTTACGGCGGAAAATCAGCCATAATGGTATGGGTGCGTTTATCTTCAGCATTTATTTGTATCTGTGATTTGAGTCTTTGATTGATAGCATTGCGATTGATCAGTCTTGGTTGATATATGTGCATGATGTGCTAACTGCGTCGATGTAGCGGCGGGTCACAAGTATTATGGGCACAGGCTAGTGGCTGAGTGGATAACGCGATGACCTTCAACGCCAGCGGTTCGCAGTTTGAGTCTTGAAGTGGGAATTAACTCGGGGTTGCAGGTACATCCAACTGGCAATCCCAAATGAGATTAAACGCATGTCCTGGATCCCAGTCCTAGCCATTATCCATCTTTGCTTATAGTGCCCCTCGTCTTCAGCACTGTTTCGTCGTTTCTACTCTTTGGTACCATTTCTGTTTTTCAGAAAATGTGGATGTTTGTTTTTACTGTCATTATTATTATTATTTTTTACAACATCCCTACTCATCTCTCGACAATGGTGTGACTTAGGCTGGTGTAGATTTACACCAGGTTAGACTATGCTTATCATTGACCTGGTGTACATCTGACACTGACGATAAGTAGGATTTTTCATAATTTACGGAGTAATTAGTATGTAAGCGATTCAGTCAATCTACGAGTCACAGTTATCTAATCAAAATTTCCTAGCGGATTTATTTTAATGTTGGTTTAAATACTTGGAGATTTAAAAACATTCGTTTTTGCGAAATTCTTTCAGTTTACATCAACGTTTACACCCAACGGGTTTGTTTCGCTCTAATAATAGTGGCTAAAAGTTGTTTAAGTATTTAAATACCGCTCCAGAGGTCTATTATTAGAATAAGAAGACTATCTTGTTTATTCGGGAATATATATGTGCGTATATCTGTAAGTAATATTTGCGGTTTTACAAGTCATGATTCGTCAAACTTCAGCTTCTTTCAGCGTGATACGACAATAGCAATAGCTGTCGTAAAACGGTCGAACGTAAAAATGACCTGTTCAAAATGGATGTCCATGTAAAATCTGTCCCAACCAAAAAGAGCGAGTCTGACTATAGTTTCAATATCCAATAATTTTCTTGCGAGTTGTTACAAACCAATTAACTTCTTTGCCCTCGCTCCTTGTTTCGGTATCTTTCCAAATATTCGGTAATAATTAACTTGACAGACGAAATAAGAGGAGAACGAACCATGATTACTGATAAGTGATATAGCCATTAACTAGGACTTTCACACCATAGGTTCATACATCCCTCAAATTATCATGCTTACATATCTATCCTTCCTCTCAGTAGCGTTTGGCTACTAGAATATTGTGAAGTGAATGATCTCAATCAGCTTGTTGTTTGCTTTACCATTCCTTATTAAATGACCTAGGTAATAACAAATCTAGCTGAGTAAATATCTAGTTGATCTATTTTGTGGTTATCATGTCTTGAACAGTGGCTAAATGAATATTTCAGCCTAGGTTTTAGTGTGTCGATTATGCTCAACCAGAATATGATGTCTATGTGTTGTTAGTGAGTGATTACAGAGACTTAAATTCGTCACAAACTCGTCTACTTGTTCAATTCTGATGAAACAGTTTTAATTGGTTGATTAGATTGTAGCTTCACTTATGTTTTTGTAGACCGTTTGTGTTATTTTCGATGATTTGTTCTAATCACTAAGCAACATATGCAATTATGTATGACGTACAGTAGAAATAGCAACCGAAGTTGAAGCACAGTCATAAGAAAATAAAATCCACTTTATTTCTTAAGAATTTTTCAATCGTTAGTGACTTAGGTGAATTTGAGTTCAGTAACTTTTAGATTTTGAAGCTAAAAACATAAAGACTAAAATGTGTCACTGTCGACTGAACCAGAAATTTAACTGAAGAAGATTAGTTTATGGTCTATGATTCATTTCGTTGTTCTTAACTAAACTCCTTAGTGAATGTTGATTGAAGGCTATGGTTGAGTCCATGCTAGTCTTTCTGCATAATAGGGAAGATAGGATTACTTAAACTGATCTATTTTCATGCATCCCCTTTTAAATCTCATAAATTGTCTTAATTTTGTTTCTTTGAATTGTCAACAGCTTACAATTGTGTTGGCGGGAGTTTTTATGAAGTATTCAAGTTTCATCAAACACTTCAATGAATGCCTCTATATCTGAGTGTCTGAAATCTCTACATGTCCACTGGTTGACCTTAAAAACTTTGAAATTACAGCCGCAGATGTTTTCTTATCTTGTTTTGAATTACCTTCGAGATCACATTGAGTAAAATAAGCGACTGGATACTGTTTACTTGGAATTTAATAATTCTATGTTTACGAAGAATTATCAGTTGTTACTTCTGGAAAAGATAAGAGCACTCTCGAATTCCCCCTTTGTTAACACATATGCAGACCATCAGCGAAAAAACATAGTATTGACTCACGGGCATACATTAGACATAAGTCTACAACTAGAAAGGCACATAATCAAACAGTTTCATGATAACAGATTACATTTGTTCCCACCCAGCTGGTGAAAAGCCTATTTTATAGTGTTACTTCCAATATTCAAAAGGCTGAATTCGTATAACGAATAATTTCATATCCCTGTCGATGAAAATAGGTATTCAAAGTCAAAAACAGGCTACAACTTCCTAGAAATAGCCGTATTCTGAGGAAATCTGCAGCAGACGATATCCATTATCTCTTCGATATGCCACTACATCAGATCAAAACACGTCTTACAGTATCGCTTAATCTACCTCCTTGAGCAATAAAGTCAACATCCAAGTCTACTATATCACAGTGCTTAACGTTTTGAAGGAAGTTAGAAAGGTTTAGTAAAACTCATTGTTACGTCCAAGTTTTTCTCCTTCCTGTTATTGAAGTACAGTATGTCGATCTATTTGCAATTCACGAACCCAAATTAACAACAGAACCAAACTCCAAAGTTAGGTACAAAGTTTATCCGCAATTCACAAATAGTCGACCAAAATGTCGTTCTAAGAACAATAATTATAATAACTACAAAATGTCCGAAAATAACATATCAAACAAGTTCATAAGGTAAGTAAAACAAATATACCCAAAAAACACAGTGAAATTAATGATATTTATATAAAGGTTTTGATCAGCAAAATGTCTTCATTTCTCCCGTAACACTCCCGACCAAAGGAACCT